AAAATTATCAACAAGTATTCATTATTTACTTCATGGCAGACTTTTGGAAACAGCAGGAAGAAGAGAAGAAAATCACAAATCGAACCACATCACCACCAAAAACTTGATTATTTACTGGTGGAAACAGAGAATGCAAACAACAGGAAGAGAAGAGAATTCATAAATCAAAATTATGAACAATAAGAACCAAGTGAATACCTCAGAAAAATTGGAAGCTGTGGAGAAATCATAACGTCCAAAGTCTGGGTATATGCAGCGATGAGAACTTCTTGGGAACAACCCATTTGTGCAAGGTTTGCAGCCATTTGAATAAATCATATGCTGACCATACTATTTTGGTTTTGGCGCTAGAAATTTCCCGAATAAGAAGCTGGAAAAGAAGAAAACAGAGAAAGCTTTTGGTGGGGAAGGGATTGCGCAGTAAAAATYATGAAGAAAGAAGCTGGAAATGAAGAAATCAGATAAAGCCTTTTTGACCTTACCTGAAGAAAAAGCCCTAACATTTGCTGCATTTCCTCCATAAAGTCAATGCATTGATATCTTGYACCATATGTTTAATAAGTTGTAATTAAGAGTTTTTTGAATTTGTTGCATAAAACCATTGTAACTTATGCTTTGTAACTTGTTTTTAAGACAATGACTTAAATGCTTATATATGTAGTATAGATACAATGCTACTATTATTTCAAACTATTTTATATGGGGACTGTCGGGATGAATTTTGTTAATAACTTTTGTTTATTGGAACAGGAAATAGCCCGACTTAGTTTAGCAACAACACGTAGACGTAGGCTTATTAGATTGTTCTGGAATGAAGCTATAATTTATATCGTTTGGTATTTCACTATGATTTTCAAATTAATAGCCAACTACCAACCACGTATTTGATATTCTTTGTTAAATGTGGATCGATATTCAATATTACATAGGTATGCTTATGAGAGTGATACTATTTGCATATCACATCTTGGGATGAATAGAATGCGTTTTAATAAGTTATGTGATAGGCTTGAAACTTTTGGAGGATTACAAGCAAGTAGGAACACGGGTATTGATGATCAAGTTGTCATTTTTCTTCACATTATTACTCTAAGAATCGGGTAATGGCATGTCATTTTCATCATGCAGGAGAAACCATTAGCAGAGTTTTTAGGAAAGTTTTCAATGATAAAATTACATCCATATTTATTTAAGAAACCTGAACTTGTTCCTGCGAACTCCACCGATGAAACATGGAAGTGGTTCAAGGTATATGTAACTATTTTATTATTATTAACACGTAAGTAACATAAAACATCTAATAGCCATTTGTTTTTTTATTTATTTAGAATTGTTTAGGAGCTCTAGATGGAACATATATCAAGTGTTTAGTACTACTTGAAGACAAACCTAGATATAGAACAAGAAAAGGTGATACCGATACAAATGTATTAGGTGTGTGTTCACAAGATATGCAATTTATCTATGTGTTACCTGGATGGGAGGGTTCAGCCGCAGACGGTTGAGTTCTTCGTGATGCACTTTTTAGGCCACATGGATTGAAAGTGCCAAGGCCATGTTATTACATGGTAGATGCGGGGTATACAAATGGGGAGGGTTTCCTCGCCTTTTATAAAGGTCAAAGGTATTTAAATGATTGGCATGAGGGACACCAATCAACAACGGCAAAATAATTTTTCAACATGAAGCATTCTTCTGCACGAAATGTTATAGAAATATGTTTTAGTATTTTGAAAGCAAGGTTTGGTATTTTAAGAGATAACTCATATTATTCGGTTGACCTAAAAAAATTGGATCATAATGGCATGTTGTTTTCTCCACAATTTTGTTAGACAAGAAATGTCAGTTGATCCATTTGAGAATGAAGACTTATCAAAGGTTGGAATGGAAGATGAAGACAATGGAACCGGAGATGAGAACGTTATCACTTCTGTTGGGACAACAAACGTGTGGACTATATTTAAAGATAGTTTAGCTCAAGATATGTTTCAATCTTGGAGTGTTACCATTTGAATTTATGTCTATCCTATTTTAATGAATTTATGTCTATCCTATTTGTAATAAATTTATCTATTTCTATTTGAATTTATGTTCATGTAGACGCTAACAGTCTTAATAGTCGTCACCTTCATTTACCGGGTAAGACTCTCAGTTATTGCATTCGTTCTTACCAGGCAAGATTCTTGGTCATTGTCATATTCATCCAACAAGATAATGTAACTTGGTAAACGCTTAAATATGTAAGCATTTGATAGACACTACTTTAATTTTTAATCAAACAAATTATACAAGAAAATAAATTTTTAATAACTTGATACCCATATTTGATATTTTTTTCAATTTTGAAATTGTTCTAAATTTTTTATTACAAATATATTCACATTCGAGTATGTTGATACTAATATTTCTATAAAACAATATCTTATTTTTAAAGAATTTAAAATTTAAGTTTACAACGTATTCCTACATTCATACAACTTTTTTTAGGTTTGACGTTTACTGATAACCAAATAATAAACTAGTTCAAATTCTACAAACACAGAGTTCTAATAATCACATTGTACTTGATAACCAATCGATGATTCTTCACCATATCATAACATCACAAAATCATAAAAATAAAATTAAGAGAAACTGATAATAAAAGTATTAAACACAATTGAAGATTCAAATTTTCAAATCCAAAAAATGAGATTGACCCGTTGTATTATTGTATGGGTAATGGGTATGACAAAAAGAACGTGCAACACTTTTGAAGCCATTCATGCCTCTGAATTCTGAAAGCATCAAGGCACTCACAAAGGTTCCATGAAACAAAAAAAACCAAATTGGGGTCTAAAAGGGTAGGATGTGCAAAGACCTTAACCCCATCCACAAGTGGTAGATACGTCGTTTTCACGAAGACCCCGAATTTGCAAAAACAAAAAATTAACAAGAAACAGGTGCAATAAGTAGCAATGAGGTGCGTGCAAACAAAAAACATATACAAACAGTAAAAACTAGTACAATTGGTCATCTATTTGTTAGCATCTTAATGAAACTTACAGCTTATTTGGTCAACTATACATGATTGTTTAATAGTGACTTAATGATATAAAAAATGACTTATTCAGTAAGCTTCTAAAGAGATGCTTTATGCAAAGCCAAGTTTTTTCCAAATCTATCTCTCTCAATTAAAAAAACATGTTGCTTCCATCTATAAAAAAACCCTTCCAAATAATAACCTTCCCAATCTATACAGACCTTAATGAAAAACCAACCAAACAGTCCCTAAAATAGAAATAAAATAAAGTTAGTAAATATCAAGGCTGACAAACAGTAAAAGATCCCACAAGTTAAAAAAGCTTGGCTAAAAGCATCATTTCAAAATCAAAGGCCATACTGCATGTAATCCGATCATCCATTACTAAGGGTAAAGATATGACATGCAAGAGAAAGGAGCCAAAGGGTCAATGACCCAGCATCCATATTATCAATAGATCTCAACCTTCTTTGGTCTAAGCGTCACCAAATGTGAAGAGTATGTGTGCATTTTGTAATATATATATATATAAAATATATAATATATATATATTATAAAGAGAGAGAGAAGGGAGTATAGTTCAAAATGTAGCATGGGAGGCAACTAAGCTCAAATTTCCAATCTTGAGTGTCGACCACTGTAGCAGAGGATCACCAGATCAAGTTTACGATCACATTTCTGTAAGTTGTCCTGCACTGAACATATCAGGAGACGAGTTGGGCAAATGAACCACCCTAAAGGATTGGGAACCACCAAACCATACTAAACAACAAAACAAATGAAGTAATTAGCAGCAAAGTGTATGCAACCAAACAACAGGAACATGAAACAAACTACTAAAGCTGGAGGAACACTACGTCTAGCAAACACTAAAATTAAGGTTTGAAAAACGTAAAAACAGGAAATACTCGGGCCGACAAAACAGTAAAGGGGAACCACCATAACATTCAACAACCAATTCCTATAATGGTTTCATGATCATATGATGTATATATTCAACAATTAAAGACATGTGTTGACTGTCACTATCTGGAGAACTTACAAGGAGTAATTTTCTTCTCGATGCCAACGATGTAGGAATACCATATTCATTGATGTCGACCAACACTTGTCACGAGAAAACAAACATCATGTGGAAGTTCAAGCCATCTGAATCCAATTGCAAGACCCATTGGCAAACTCAACACCAATTCCATCATGCCATTTAAGAGAAAACCAAGTGCCAAATGGAAATCCAGAACAGATAAAGGATTCATTCCTTGTTGATTTTTAGCTTAGTTGAAGGTCATATATTATTCACATAAAACAGCCCTTCCTGAGATCCCAACCAGGCCCCTGGAAAATGATTTGCAGGTCTTCTGTTGCAATCTTGGACTCCTACAAATCCATAACAAATAAATAAACCAAAAGAGATGATGAAAAATCAAACCAAACCAAACCAGTTATATGATAGCCCACCTGGAGGTGGGTTTTGGGGAGGGTAATATGTATGCAGACCTCACCTCTACCCCAAAGAGTAAAGTGGCATGATGAAAATGAACCAAATCAAAATGTTAACAAATCCAATGAAATAGCAGCACCTCTTGGCCAGCACACAACTGAGGGCACGGAATTCATGAATTTATCTTGGTATAACATTTCGCCTGACTTGATGCTCCAGACCCGCAAGCAGAAATCTTCTCCCCCTAATACACGCATTTGTTAAAAGCAGAGAAAAATTACCATGGAAGTTGAAAGATACATCGGCGGAACCCAAGTTACCTGACATGAAAAATCTCTCTGATGGGTCAACACCAATCTGTACACGAGTATGAGAATTAACATTTCCATCGTAGAACTGTACGGCCCCTCTTTGAGTCAAACGATGATCATAAAGCCTCACCTACAAAAGTTAACGAAGAGTGTAGAGCATATCAGATAGCGAAGACGACAATATTATTTTCCGACATTATTGTGCAATAAACTTATTGGCATCATTGGGTTTCACTTGGAAGCTCCATTATAACTGTTAATGAAATAGAGACGGAGGACGTTACTGTTTGTCTAAATTATTCAGGTCACACTGCTTATACAGATACCAGAAACCCTGATAAACAATCCATGCTTCCACTAATCAAAAAAGATATGCTACTTTGTTCTCATTCCTGTTTTGGGTAACATACTTTCAAAACTTTCATTTAGGTACCTAAAATGAAATTTTCAAACACTTAGGTACCCGGGTAACCGGTTTAACCCTTAACCAGTTACCATGATGACATGGCATACAACTCAACATTATTCGATGAGGTGGCTATTGATATGAATTTTATTTTATAAAAATAATTATAAAATGTACTTTGACTTAACTTTATATTGAGCAATTAAAATTTTGTTTCATATATAGAGGACAAGGCAATCATTTCCAAGACAACAGCCAGCTTTTCCGCTTCCAGGTACCATCTCCAGTACAACAGCCATCTTTTCCAGGTACATCTCCCGTCACCGTCGACCATCTCCGGTAACCATCTTCGCCTTCCGTCTCCGGTCACCATCTCCGACCTCCGTCTCAGTGGTGTCTCATGGATGAGAAGAGAAGTTTAGTTGGGTTAGAACTATGAGCAACCCAAGGGTGACAAGACACCGAGACCACAGCCATACCCCGCCGAGCACCATCTCCATCTCCGCACGTCATCTCTTACCGATGGGTTTGTGTGACAGGCTCACCCGATGTTATCAGAGCAGCAGAACGATGGATGTAAGAGTGATGAACTTCAGAAGCTTTTGATGGTGCGGGTGGAGTTAGAGGCTGAAGATGATGACAGGAGACAATGACCGGAGACAATGGCTGGAGATAGAGGCTGATGTATTGCTGGAAGCTCTCCATGGTGAAGGTGGAGTTAGAGGTTGGAGAAGGTGGTCGGACTCATATGGTGGCCGGAGACATTGCCGGAGACGGTGACCGGAAAGGCATGGTCATAAAATCCATATCAACAGCCACGTCACCGAATAACGTTGAGTTGTATGCCATGTCAGCATGGTAACCAGTTAAGAGTTAAACTGGTTACCCAGGTACTTAAATGTTTATTTTTATCTTAGGTGCCATTATGAAAGTTCTGAAAGTATGTTACCCAAAATAGGAATGAAAACAAAGTAGGTTATATTTTTATGCAATTGCCCTATGTATATAATAACAGTTCAAATACAGATCAAGATGTCTACACAAAATATGCATACTTCCATTGAGTTGTTTGAGTTATTAAAAGAACGGGATGAACCAAACAAGACATGGGTTGCTCAGAACAAGATATCACAGATGCTAACACAGAGTTGCTGAGGCAGCAGCATTACAGATTTCAATGAAAAATATGCAAAAAGTACCGTTCCATCCATGGAGCTGGCCAAGAAATACTGATCATACTGCTTAAGTGCTGCCAGACTGCAGTTTGTCAACCAACAAAGCTGTTGTCATGCATAAAGGTGAAAACAATATGAATGAACTTTTAATAGTTATCCACCAACCAGGAAACTGATGAAGGCATGGAGATCATTTCAGAGTGATGGATGTTCCCCCTGAGCTGCAAGCATCAACTTTACATTCAAATTGTACTAATGAAATACCACCAAACAAGGGAAAAATAAACATATAAAAGAAGCTCCTCACACACTAGACATTTATACAATATGATGGGAGCAATGGTTTCGTTCGTTGACTCACACACCAAGAACAAACAAGTTGGCATCTGCTCACAGCCCTTAACATTCAGATTAACTCAATAAGCTGGTTATCACAAATAATATTTAACAACAGTCAGTTCAACTTACGTTCTTATTCAGAACAGATTGCAGTAAAGAGAGTTGACAATCAAAAAACGGTTGACAGTTGCGAATGAACAAAAGGAAGAGCAGAATAGGCGTAGGAGTGCTGACAGCTGTGATCCTAAGTCAGCTTTCACTGCCATCTGACCACCTTTATATGACAATCGAGTCATAATGGTAAAGATGGGAATGGGTCTTGCAATCCACACCATCAATTAAATATAAAGGTATCTTCGAGTAAATGCTAGAAAACTGGAAGGGACCGAAAAGAGAGTGCTCTATACACACATTTGCAGAACAGTATGCTCATACTAGCTGATTAACAACTACCACGTGGTAGATGCCTGTGGATGAGCTGACGTGTCCATCGGTATCAACCAAAAAGAAACAAGTTCTGCATTATATGGGTTTCTTCACAATGTATTAAAATGAAAGTAGTTTTGACCACTTCAAATCCTTAGGAGATGATACAGAAGGGCAAGCAAATTCCATTGTTAGAAATATAAGTTACCTCAAACCATTGTTTCTCATGTTTTTGACCTCTTCCACTTGACGATGCGCTTGTTTTAAAGGATGGAAAAGGAATTTGGTGTTTAGGAAGTCTATCATGCAAGTCTTCAGGTTTCTGGCGAGTATCAACCGTCACAATAGCTCCATTTCGAAATCCACATAAAACAATATTTCCCTGGAAGAACAGAGAAGGTTTAAAAGGAGCCACCTAGGTAATACATGGCGGTGACAATCTAACTTCACACACATTTTATTATCAATTAATCATGTACTTGGCAATAACTTTGACATGCTAATAGCTAAACAATGATTTAATTTTACTGGCATCCATGTTTTTGTGATTCCTTTAGGATTAAATGCAATTTTAATGTTTGTCATCCAGTTCATACAATGAAGTCAAAAGTTCAACATATACGAACATTTATCAGAGTGTATGCTTAGTCTATTCCATCGATCTTATGATATGTTCATCTAGTCTAAATAGTATTAACTCAGATACAGCATCTTTATCTAACAAACATTTTGGTTGAACGGGGAATGAGATGAATGGCTCTTAAAAAAGAGATAAATTCATCAGCTATCCATAATGAATGAGAATACAATAAAAAGATGTAATTCGTTTATTTCCGTTCTTATCCTAAGATATATCTATAAGCTTTGATTGTTTAATTGACTCTTTGCTTTTTGGTACATGAACCTCAATGTCATTGACCAAACAAAGATCATCATTCATGTATCTTCCAGATTTTGCATTTTGAGGGAATAATAGCAAGATTGTCTACATGAGAAGTCTCCCCAAGTGAACTCTGGCAGTCCCTACACATTTCAGGCCATTCGTATTCATCCCGATGGTTCTTAGAAACAGAGAAATGATCACAGGTAAAAGAACAGCAATGCAATAGATACTACACTGATAGAATCGAAGTTCAACCCAACTCTTTCCAATTTCAGGCTGCAACACTACCCACTAACACCTGACGGAAAACCATTTGATTACCAAAACAGAAGAGACAGAGATGGAAAAATGGCAAAAGAGGCAATCATCCCCTCATGATTCCCAACACCTGAGAGGCTACTCTAAGCTGCCAATGAAGGCAAGAACCAGACTAGTAAAGACACTGAGACTAGCATCCAAGCTTTCGGTCACAGTTATTTGGCATCACTGAGAATACTTCGAACATCAAAGGTTTCCAGCACGGTCATGCTTGCCCACTTAGCTGGAATTGCAAGGAGCAACAGAAAGAAGCAAGGCATACTTATTGGTTGTATAACATCATTGCAGGTAGGTTTAGACCTATGAGCTTATACCAACTATGTGCAATCTCAGGGTGGCATGATATGGCTCTATAAGTTAGATAAGACACCTGTAGATTTAATCCCCATCATATAGAACCTCCTTTGGTGAAAAGGTCAGAACAAAATTGAACCAAATTAACATGGTTTGAATTTACTTCAGTGAATACTCCGGTATCCCAGATCTTCATTCACAAACAGTATCCCAGATGTATGATTTTCCCGAGTTGAACTTGTTTCACTCATAACACCATGAAGCCAGATATGGCATTATTACATCATGCCATACTTGCCTGTGTCACCTCAGAAAAGATAGAAAACGGCAGAGGGGGATGATTTTTAGTTAGCAACAAGGAATTCATTAAGTTATTTTTGCCCTATGGGAGAGATTTAAATCATTCATGGAACATTCTGATTCTATTCCTGGTGATTTCAATGAACATATGGTGGAAATCTTTGTATGAATTGATGAACCACCCGTCAATAACAAAGACGTGTTACGAATTTAACGACTATACAAGGACAACAATGGAAGCGAGGGCTTTTCACTTCCTTGTGCTTTTACGATATTAAGTCCTACTTTACACATGACCTCTGATAGGAGTTCTAAAACACACAAGACTGGGTTAGCAGAGGCATCCACTAGATAATGAATTATGTGTTTTTCCTTACAAGTTCTTTGTTTCATTGTACCTTCTTGCTACTTTCTTCTCTCCATGTTGCTTTCTTTCTACTATTCTTTGTTTTTCTCACCTTTTCACTCACACTCTTGCACAAACAAGGAGTTTTCACAGATACAGCCGCTCTACCCTTTGTGGTGGAGGACAGGTTTGTGTATTGGTGGAATATATTGGATTTGCTTGGTTTGGCTTATTTTACAACTTGCAGCTCTGAAATGCAGTCTAACTGATTCCAGCAAGCACAGACAACCAGTGTGGATACTTACTATCTTACACAGATAAGGGCTTGGAGCAAATGCAAATCACCAATAGTAATTTTGCTTATGTATGCCTTAAAGTCCCTCTTTGATGTGGACAACAATGCTAGAGCAAGAAACAAAAAGATAACAGTTTGGTAGTATTTGATGATTAGTTGGTTTTAGATTCATATAAGTTTATGTTCATAATTGGGGAAGGCTACCTCATAATAATTTGAGATAAGTAAATTTATATATATATACACACACAAAAATAGAATTCATATACACCCACAAAAATAGATTATAATTCTCAGGTGTTCTTTATGAAATTGAATATAAATTTCTAACAAAGCATGCAAATGCGACCATTCATTTTCTTCTTTTGGTTTTGTATTTTCTTACTCTTATATTGTGCTCCATAAGGTGCAAAATGAGTATGCTTTACAAGTGTGGGGTGGTAAAAGTGGCCCAACGGAAAACAAATGACAGAGTCCAATTACACCAAGTACAAGTCCAGAAGAGTAAGAGCCCTAATATTATCATAGCGTTATAGATAATACTAAAGACCAAAAGACCAAAATCAAAACTACCAACATCAAGAAGAAAATGATCACTAAAACTTTAGACCAGAGATATTGTCAACTGAACTACCCAAGTCAAACTTGAGCCAAGTTGAGCAAGGAACAACTAAAGCTAAGGCACCTGTACCCCAATTCTGTCAAGGAGCAAATGTAAAACAGAGAACAAATACATCTTTTTCAAATAATATCATGTTCGTACCGAACAATCAAATTGCAAAGACAAAACATCACTCTTGGAACGGCATATCCATGATCTTCTTCCAGATTCTATATGTACCAAGGCAGCTCCAATATTGGTGCCTACGAAGGATGTAAACAAACTGAATTGATGATGACTGACAATCGGTTACATGTTGAGAAAAGGAGAACAGGATGCTGAAATGAGGTGGATGCCAAAAAAGGAAAACAAATGGTGGCATATGCATCAATAATAAGGCCCATTCATGAGTGAAGAAAATACATTCTTTAAGTAAGATGATGTAAATGAGCAACAAGAAGAACCAAAAGTTACTAAAAGCAAACTATAAAAGCTATTTTATAAAGACCCTATTTGCCTCAATTTTGACTTCTATCATAATGCCAGGACCTCATGAGGCATTATTAACTTAATTTTATCATACACTAGTTGAAAAAATAACATTCAAGCAGATACAGGGAAAAATATAATTTTATATACATATCAGCAAGGAGAAGCAAGACAACAAACATTAGTACAAAGCCTACCAATCACCGCTTGATTCCCATCTGAATTGCTATCTGCTGCCCAAACTGTGGATTTGATTCTGGAAATCTCGTCGAATCTTCCACTCAGCATGGCAATGCCCAGACCATACTCCAATGGCTCGCTAAGGTTCATCATATAAACAGATCCACCAGATGTTTCAGATCCCAGAGTAGTTACTCTGTACGCTTTTAGTTGAAGTCAAACAAAGAGGCAAACCATGCAATTGCAAGACCAGAATTAGTATCATCTCCATAGTAAAATGTGCAAGAAGCAGGCACAGCCGGCTACAAACTAGTGCAAGAAAGTTTGTGTATGGGGAATTTCAAATCCCTAATTCCCTACACATCTTGGTTTCGTGCTCAAACATCAACACAAAAGCATCTATACTTAAAATGGAGAGAAGATAAGACACCACAATAAATTGTTACCATTGGGACAAGGAAACAGACCCTTCCAAAAATAATGTCTGTAATGAGTGATAAGTAAATTGGCAATGAAATACATGCCTTGAAATTGCCTGATCAGAAAAAATTGCTCATCTGCATTGAGGTCTTCAAAGAAAAAACTGACAACTGAATAGTGCACTCAAATCAAACTTATGGTTCTTTATATGCGTCAACTCTCCCTACACAATTATACCCAAATTATTAAGCTTCTTGTGCCATGGTCAACCAGCATGGGTTCTACCATATGATGAGCCTGCACCTAAGTTTAGCATCCCTGAAGCCGAGTCTTTGGGAAGGTGTGCAATTCCTTGAGAAACGAGGAGATTATCACTCTAAAAAAGGATAAAATGAATGCTTAAATTACTTATTTCCAGGAAAAGACCTTTTGGACTAAGAGCAAGAAATAACAGGGATATCGGATTGTGTATGATTATTCATTTTGAACCCCAACAAACACAGAAACATGCTCATACTTAACAATAAAGTGCATCGGTCACAAAAATGCTTAATGCTAATCTGTAAATAAAAATAAACATTTGAAGGATACAAAGCATGTGGAACTGATGAATCAATATCAGTTGCTTGAGGATGATAGTTTCTTGATATCTTTATACAGGATACACTTGAAAGCATCTCAACCACAGCTCCCATGGGCCTCCAAAGAAGTCCTGGCGATTTTAATGACGCTGTTTGCTTTTCTATGTTCAGAGGCTGCACAAGATCTGGCATGCATTGCATCGCATTATTAGCACGTTGCCCAACATATCCGACTTCAGACAAACTGCAAACAACCAAAAGTGAAAAAAATAATATAAGCTGAAAAGAACTTATGATGATATGCACTTGTTTCCCAAGTCGCAAGACAAAACTACAAGTTATAGTAAGCTAAATATCTATTTCAACATATATGAAAAACCTTTATGTCAACCATCTAGAGTTCTTATATCACAAACTAAATCAACCTTGTTATGCAAAATCTATGAGTTAATGTTAAATTCAAGTCACAAAAAAACTTAATGAGTACGATTCTCGAAGTTCTAGAGACATAAGTGCTTATAGAGTTTGACCATCAATCAACTAGGATCGTTAAGGCATATTTATAGCAATAAAAAATAAATTATATCTTATTAGCTATAAATAATACTTCAGTATTATTTTGGATATTCGATGTTGAGGGCATCTATTAGATCTTTCACGCTTTAGCAGTTTCTAGACATCTGCTTAGGTATTGATCTCCGTACTTCCTTCAAGGTTACTCTAATTCCTTTTTGTTATGTGTTATGCTTGTGATATAATTGATATAGATTATGAAACACTCATCATATCAATCTCTTTTTGTTTTAATTTGAACGAAAAGTTGGATTTTTTTTGCCTTCCAACGTTCTATGTTTTCTCTTGTTCATAGGGCTCGTATGCATAGTAAAAATTCACTAGTGTTGAAGTTAGATTTGAAGATTCAATGTATGCCCTTGAAACTGTTTCTACCCACATTCTCTGTTGATTCCAAATTAACCACCTGTGGGGGTATCACAGTCATGTCATTGTGGGCGTATCAAAGTCATGTCATTATGGGACCAATGATGTGACACGCCCGTGATTAGTCCACCATGTCTCCTTTTGTGCTTTGATGAGATTTAGCCCTTGTGCAATATGTGATGTCGATTTAAATTTAGGAGGCATATGGGTCGGCGTAACATTGGGAGCTTTGTTTGTTTGTCAAGTAGTGCCACACATGCATGCCAATGATTTTCGGTACACTTGGACGGGCACATCCAATTTGTTAGTATTTGTTTGGATATCCTACAATTGGTGTATCATAAGCGTAGTGATTTGTGATTTTGCTCTATAGAAAGCATGGTATAAAGAAACTAACCCTTATTGCTTCAGCTTTATATTTCTTTGATTGCTCTGCACTTGCGTGTGCTATTTTGTTATGGGGCATATTTAAAGATGATTCTTGTATCTCGTATAAAAACAGTTTATAAATCGTTTTGTTTGTTTATCGTGCATGATTTTCAGTACACTTAGACGGGCACATCCATTGTGCTAGAATTGTTTGGATGTGCAACATGTGTAGTGATTCCGTGATTGTGTTCTATAGAAGAAACCAATCCCTCATTGCTTCAGCTTGATATCTCTTTGATTGCTCAGAAGATGAGTGTGTCATTATGTTATGCGGGGGATATTATAAGATGTTTTTTTATCTCATATTATGTTATGTGGGGGATACTTATAGATGTTTCTTTTATCTTACATAAAAACAACTACTAAATTGTTCTACAATGAACATTTATCATCTAAATTTGTCGATTAAACGACTCGCATTGTGTCTTTCTTCCAACAAGTAATCAAGGGTGATAAGGGATTTTATGAAGACTGTTGCTTGTTTTTGGAGGACATTTAGTTTGAAAGTTGCCTCAATTTAGGGTTGCATTGATGTTTTAGATTATAGGTTCGAGTTGGCATGAAATACTTATAGTATGGTGACAAAAATTATGGTTTATGATTAAGTTATTTATTGGTGTTGATTTTGAAGATGTTAATGCTCTGATCAATTATGTTGGTCCTTGAAGTGACCTCCATATCCATTATGGAAATCGGGATTTTACAATTTGACTATGCAATTGGATATTTGATTTAAGCAAGGTTTGAATTTGGATGCCTGTTCATCCTTTGTATTTATTTAATTAAGCAAGATCATAAACACCATATGCATAAGAGGAGAAGAAGCTTATACACTGTGAAAGCATAGTCTTCTAACATGTCCAAGTCCCTATAGAAGACTGGCTTGCTAGGAAAGTATATTCCTTGCATTCAGATTTGGCCAAAAGGATAGCGAACGAAGATGGGCTTTAGCACGAGGATCATACTCCTTAAGTTGCCATCCTTTAACTTTAAGCGGCAACCGAAGTACTTACAATCTCAAATTCAATATGAAAATGTTTAACTTTTAGAAAAGACAATGATCATCAAAAAGTACTAGCACTGCAACAAATTTAGAATTTGTATTATATAAAATTGAGATTTCTAGTAATATGCACATACTACAACTAAACATGGAAAGTTGTGGTCCAAGAGTCAAGAAAGTTACAGAGAAAAGAAACTCGGAAGATTTATCTACATGAGGGTGATAACATACCAAAAGGTGCCRTTAAGACCACCAGCAAGTAATATTTCTGATCTAGTAATGCCACCTGGAGTCTGGATGTCGAGGCATATGTGTTCCAATGCAGCATCAGTAATCCTCCGTGTCCCTTCGTATTTCCAAATCTAATGCATAAGATAAATCCATTAAATCATAGTTAAGTTTTTCCAACTGATGTTTCTTACTTCCAAGTGACCTTACAAGCAAACAATGTAATCATGTACTTGATGAACAGGAACTTTATGACCTAGCAAGGTGACTGAACAATTTTTTAGAGTTCCACATAGATCAAAGTACCTTTATTCTGCTAACTAGTAGATACCAGTGAGCTATCTATCAATTAGTTGTGAGCTTGTGATTATGTAACACGTGCTAAAGGGCCTATAGATCTTTATAACCACCGAAGAATTCACTGACAATGTTTCTAATAAATTAAACAGTTAAATGAGTAGCAAAATGATGCCTGACTAGGTATGGCACTAAGATCCACCTCCTAGAAGGCTAGAACTCATCCAAAGGTAGGCCGCAACTTTTCTGGATGACATGAACCACGTACCCAAGAAAAATAGTTGATTCAGTTAGAGAAATGGATTTTCTTTCATGTCTTCTTCTTATCTTCTCCATCCATGGTCCATAATCTATGTTCAAAAGTGATTTTCCTCATAAATAGAATAATCATGTTTCATCCTTATTCATGGTATTAGTTGCTTGAAAACTAACAACCCTGCTCCCAACTAAAATTGTCGCCAACAASAAGCACCTCCTACAGCCATATGACACCCATAACAATCAGAGMAGAGACGGCCTGTATTGCACGCCTATCATGCAATTCGACATCATTGTTAGCAAAAGCAATATGTTGTGGCCTAGATTCATACTTTATGTTTTAACGCATATTCTAAAACCACCAAGAAAGAGAAAAGGATAATTGATATAATAGCTATGATAGTCAAAAAAATATAGTTTCTATCGATCAAGGAGTGACATGGTGGTCACTTAGCTTCACATGAGTTCCAATTGTTGCTACTACTGCACTTTTTTTGAGTTAATTAGATGATGTATTAAATAATTGATATCATCCATACAAGATAAAATCTTTACTTACTCAATAGAATCAAATTTAACTTACCATAGGTTTTGACGCCCGTATCTTTTGGTATTGTTCTTCAAAGTTCACCTTCCTTTTGTTACAGCTGACTGAATTTCCACATAATTCCCTCACATGAAGCATCTTAACAACTTTGGACCCTTTTCCCATCTCTCCGTACTTAAACTATATGAATGTTCAACACATAGTCAATAGCTTTAAGCATGGAAATGCACAGGGACGAGAAACTATGATTGAAGTATCAGAAACAAGAATAAGAATGATATACAGGATGATGCACCAGCATAACGGTACTGTCCATTGATCACATTAGATAACTAACGAAATAAAGTTTGACTTAGTCTTGCCAATTTAATGGTGCCTATGGGAGAAGGATACATAAGAACGGAAAGTAAATGAATAGGTTGTCAATTTCATTTCAAGGGAATAATTACTATTCATATTATGAACAAACATTATCGAATTAGTATTCTAATTTACATTCTACTTGATCAACTTAGTCTTACTAAAATTATATTTGTTATTATTTTTGGTCTAAAGAATTTGTATTATTAATAGGGAGAACCTTGAAAATGTAAGGCAACACATAAGCCTACAACCTGAACAAACAAAGTAAAATAAGTAACAACCTCTAATCAATTCAACATTCCTTCACAAGTTGGAGCATTGATATTGTTCAAGTCTAGCTTCTTGCATATCAAGTCTATCAGAGTCCTTAAATAAGGATTTTGTCAGGCTCGCAACAAGCTAATGCTCGCTCTGAATGTTAACTAATTGATGGAGGCATGCCCTTAACCGGTTCTTAGAAGTTAGAACAGAACTCCTACCAAATAACAATGAGCTTCCAAACGTGAAACTGATGCTAATTTCTTCCCAAGTTGGAATAAGAATGCACTAAGCATTGACCCTAAACCTTTCCCTCTTTGGGTTGGTTATAGACCACCTCAGAAAAGGCATACAAGGTGAAAGACCTGGTGTATGTTTTTTTGGTGATGAGAAACTATTGATTGAGAGTCTAGTTTTACTTGTGAATCACTAATAAACAAGTTAAATCGTCAAATCTACACCCTGTCCAAATTGGGTTTTATATACACTTGATAAGTTGATGCTCTATTTCTTTCAACTTTTTACATGAAATGGATGTGATAACTTATAAGGGCGTTGAGTGATCAAGTTATTCCAAATTATCATGATGATGACTTTTCTTTAAGCATGTATTCCATTTTTTTAATGTTGACTTGATAAGAAGCCCTTTTTATATCTATTGTTCTTTTAGTTAGAATTGCATACTACAAGTCGGTTAATTGAATTGATGGTATGGGTTTGATTACTTCAATGATGTTTCTTTGTTAAGATACTTTTTCCATTATATTTATCATCATATTCGTATATATATGTTGCATAGTTTTTAGGAAATGTCAAATTTATATGTCCAATACAGCTTGTCATGTGCTTCCTAACGTCAAGTGTGGATAGAAAATAAAAGTTAATTAGACATGCAGGGTAAATGAAACAAAGGATCAAGAGTCCCACTTGACTATAAATCCAACTGTTGATCCCACTTTTTCGTTCTGTTTTTGTTCAGTTTCAGCGATCATCTCTGAGTTTGTTTAGTTATTGCAGAACATGTATTATAAACATTCATAAATAACAAGTATTCCCCAAAAACAAAACTCATACCAAAGAAACCTTCAGCAATGTCAAAGAAGTAGCTAAGTTAGAAAGATGATAGTTCGTGATATGAAGTGGATCCAGTGATAACAAGGATGTCTAAATCAAAGTGTGGAATATGACCAAGACTCAACGAACACTGAAGAACCTTCAAAGATTAATCAGTGTCAGCGATCAAATGAATCTTTCTCTACAAGATTAGTTTGTCTTATCCTATATGCACAAAAGGACAACCTCATACCTTACACAGAAAATTACATGTACGGGGTTACTTTATTGTCTCCAAACATGCTTACCTACTTTGTAAAAGTCAACTGTTCATATGCGGCGAAAAGTCTGCATATCTTAACCTTATCTTTTTCCGCAACAATTTATAAATTCTGTATTGATCTTCTTTAATCAATAAACGAGTTTAAAAAGTGAAAATTGTGTGTTTGTATTCAGCCTCCCCTTTTACAAATTGTTAAGTGTTAACACCTTTAAACTCTTGTAGAATCCGTTTGGGACCAACACCAACTAAAATGGGAAGGCTAAGTTATCTCAGACAAGAGTGAAATGTGCTATCATTATAATGAAAAATGCAATATGACCAATAGACAACATACACATTCCATGATTGTAGCATAAAAACAATGTTGAGGTCGTGCGTATTGTTAAGACTATTCAATTATTAATATTTATCTCTACTGTTCTATTACTATTGTAGTGTGCCTTGCAATTTTGGCCAAAAGCCTGCTCCTTCCTAGATGTTAAAACTTCTGCTATAGAAATAATGATTATGGTCAGGCCGTCTTAATGGCTTGGTGTCTGCAACTTTGTTGTATCAGTGACGCCCCCATTCCAGGGGATCAAAGCCATTGTTCATTTTTTGAAAGTCAAACTAACTACTTTTTGCACCAACGTTCACAAAAATTTTGCATTCCAGACAACCTTCGATAAATACAATATGCATGAAATATATAAGAAAAGTTTGGTGCTGAGAATTATAGAACATGTACATATCAAACCAGAATTTGAAAAGTAGCAGCTTTTACTCCCAAACCCTAAAATTGAATCCTAATCTTGGAGCCATCAAGAAAAAAAGTGCGACAGTTTGACTTCTATGTTAACTGGGTTGCCTTTCACCTTCAATAGGACATATGGTAATTTTAGCGTCCAGAACTAAATTAGCAAGCAACCTTGAAGATTACAATAACTGGATAGTACTAGTAGAATATTGTTTCTAAAACTCGCAACAAAGAGGGGAAATGAAACAAACTGACCTCACCTTTGAATATTAGAAAGTTTAACATCCTAAATCAAAGTGCAGCTCCTATTTGGAACTGAAGGGTGACATTTCCCAAAAGAGAAGCATATTCTTTTGCATGCTTGCTCTACTTTTATTTTCATAAGAAATTAAACTTGAGACTTAATACTTGTATCATATGGGAAGTACTAGATTTTACTCTAAAAAACTACAGGTATATTCTAATTTTTCATCCATTCCCTACAGTTTAACTGTAAGTGCATAGGGTTACCTTTCAAGTTTCAACTTCAATAAAAATATGGATTTGAAGTTTTGAAATATATTTGCTAACAATATTGAACATTAAAACTTGCAATAAAACCCATATCCATTTTGCATTTTAAACAATTCTAGGTTTGACATCATATATTAAACTCCAGCTTCTTTTAGGAACTGGGGGATTAATCTCTATAGCATGCTTGCTTCTCTATTCTTCTCGTTATAAGATCAAACTCATACTTGGTATAAAATCGAAAAGTTTACTAGTGTTGTACCTGATTCATTTTCGAAGGTGCTTTTTGAGCTTTGGTGGAAGCAGAAGAAGCGTTTCTACCCGGAATCGGTGATTTGATAGGGAAATACCTGTTCTTCTCGGCATCATAATAGAACCCCGGGAGATCTATCAACAAACAACGTCAATATTCATGAAATTAGTTGATACTACACGAAGCACAAAAAGACATTTATGAAACTTAAAAGAGGGAAAACCTTGAGGCATCGTTTGAAAATGTTTATAGCAAAATACCAAACGAAGATGAAAAATAGTGGGGTGTTTGGGATTGCTTACGAGAGTTCCTTGTTGACTTGTTACGACGATGTGACATCAGCCATTTTAAGAGAAAAAAAATTGTTTATACCCGGTAATAAACAATCCTATCAAATTTAACTTATTAACAATTTACCTTTTTAATCCTTTTTCTAATACCATTTTCAGTTTTTGACAGGAACCAGAGAAATCAAACCCTACGTTCTTTTTCCTCAAGCGACATTTTCTTCTCAGGATCTTCACTGCATCTCTTGCTTTTGCAATTGGTTTGACATGCGTATTCACTAGCAGTAAGTACATATTACATCCCTAAATTCGTTTTTTCTAGGCGTAATATTCATGATTTGATTTCGAACAATGAACTAAACCCTCCTTGAAAAAATGTTGAGAGCTTATAGTAACCTATCATCAATAGCTTCCCCAACGATCAGCATATGTGCTCTTGAACTCTCCCTTTGTCAAGCCCATACCCTTTTATCGTCATCCAAGAGACTCCACCACATTTACCCTTTTATCCCAAACCCTTACTGCTTCAACATCTTTTTTGGGTTTGAAAGATCATCCACCGCTAAAGAACTTCAGGTATTCTTATTTAAGTTATTTTTTTTTAATAAACTATTAATATTAATTGATATAAATTTTTGTCAATATATTATTAAAAATAAATATTTACATGTTAACAAATCAAAAAAGTTAATAAGCAATCTCAAATACTTCTTATAAGTCAATAATATGAAAGAATGTCTTTTTTGGTCAATTTACATGTGATAGTCCCGAAGGGAATGACAATAGACATAAAGTAATTGTAGAAGGGGGGGTTGAATACAATTACACATACTTTTTTCAACTTTTTAATTCTTATTGATTTATATCAAGAATTAATAGACACAAAAATACAAAAGATTGTTGCGGAAGATAGGAAAGGAAAACCTAACCTAAACAATCTTACAAGGAGAAGAACTTTCAAGAACAACACAGAGAGTTTTGAAAGGAAATGAAGAACACTAAGAATTTCTTCGCACACAGGAGAGCAAGGGAGTAGAAGAGAATAGTCGATTGCTTTTAGAATTCACTAAGTAATCTTGCAAAAGCCAGTTGTGTGCATGGGAGATGCACACTGCCTTTTTTATACTACCTTCAGCATTTAATGCATGGGGACACTTGTCACTTGAGGATAAGAAGGCAGGGGTTGACTTGACCAATGTTGATATCTCATTTTCATCGTACACAGCGTGCAATGTTGATATCTCATTTTCATCGTACACAGCGTGCATACAACACAGTTCATGCAGAGACAAACTTTGCAGAGATATGGTCAGTCTGTAGGAAGATCTCCTTTGGATGGATATGTAGCTTCAAGCAGCTACTCACAAATCTTCGGTCCATGAAGATTTTCAATCTTCGGTCCATGAAGATTTTCAATCTTCGGTCCATGATCTTCAATCTTGAGTTCATGAAGATTTTCAATCTTCGGTCCATGATCTTTAATCTTGAGTCCATCAAGATTTTCAATCTTCGGTCTATGAAGATATTCCTTCAATCGGCTTGTAGCTTCAAAACATTTTCAATATGCATTTCAGCTACTTCAGAGTCTTGGTGTGTATATTAGACAGTTGATCCACAACACCGCATCGGTGACCTTCTGTCTTCACATCGGCTAGTCTTCGATTTTGCCAATGGCTTTAAGTATGTACCAAGACACCAATATACAAAGAACCAATAACTACTAAGTGTTGCTAAGGTAGAGGAACAGATCAGTGGGTCATCACCAAATCAATAGGTGACCCAACAATCTCCCCCTATTTGATGATGGCACAAACACTTAGAAAGAAATAAATACAAGAAACACAAACTATAAAATTCTTTGAGAAGAAGAACTTATAAATTATGTGACTCATGTACATATTCTTTTTGGGTTCTTTTCTTTCCTTTTTTTTATTTTTATTTTTTTGATTTTTTTTTGATTTTTTTTTTGATTTTTTTAAACTATAAACGTATATACAAACAAATAATGAATCAGAGATAAACAAATAAAGAATGAGAAATTTAAAGTAAATACTGAAAAATCAAATTGCATTTATACTAGACAATGAATTAAATACTTACAGTGAAGAAAGTAGTTCAAGAAGAAGAAATCACATAGGAAAGCTAGCAATCATCATCTACTTCCATAACATCTGAATCAGCCACTGCAAGAACATCTCTTCTTTTCAGTTCATCCGAGATCAATGTATAAAAGACTCTTCCGGCTTCACCAATTTTGATTATATTTAGTATCACGCGTAATAGCTGAGAATCAGCTATAGGTATCTCAGAAGCTCGGAAAAATCGAAGGCAACTACTCGCGTCCCAGAAGAATATTCCATGCTCAGGAGCGGACAAGATAGGTCCTTCCGGATGACAAACATCTGAAGGAAGGGTAAGATCAAGATGTGAGACATCAGGAGCCTTACCTTCCTTTGATAATTTCTGAATAAGCGAGTCTTGATTCTTGATGGTCTTCGAGGCAGAAGCAGATTTAGAAGAGTCGGCTTTGCTTAACATTTGCTTTAGAAAGGAGAGTTGTGGAGGGGAAGGCAGCTTGTAATGCATCTTGATCATTTGTATCTTTTTCAAAAGGCGATACAGATGACTCAAGACAAATTCCTTGTACATGCTTCTGCTTTTATTTAGAAACTTGATGATCTCCATCCACTCAGTAAGACCGTAGGAATTGATCCAAGATAGCTTTTTTGTCCTTACTACTCCATTTTCTCGACCAATAATCACATAGATCAGATTGGAATCATAGGTCAATTTTTGATGACCTTTGATTCTGGCACTGACAATTCGAGTAGTAAGGAAGCGTCGGAGAAATGATTCATTAAACCATTTAATTCTTTTCTCTTTGGTTTCTTCAGACTCAGAAAGTGGAACCAAGGAGTGATATCTGTTGGCTTCCTCAAATTGCTTTGGAGCTTTGGAGGGAGTAAGGGCAACAGATTTCTTAACCTTTGGAGCTTTGGAGGGAGTTCCAAGCTTAGAAGCCATGGTTGAATATCTTGAAAACACACAGTAAGCTTGTGAAGAAGATGAGAGAGGGAAGAGGTTTTTGAAAGGGAGAAGAGAGGAGAGGTTTAAGAGAAGATGAGAGGTTTAAGAGAAGATGAGAGGTTGAGGGTTTTAAATAAAAAAAAGGAGAAGGGAAATATAGTTTTAAAAAGAGAAAAAGGAGAAGGTAAATAGATGTTGGGTAAAAAGGGGAAATCTAGGGAAAGTAAAAAGGCAAGAAATAGGGGTGAGGGGTGTGGGTCTTAGGTGAGGATGGGGTGGATGGGATGTGATGTGGGGTAAAGGAGAGGTTTGAAATTAAATATGTTGGTGATTGGGGGACCAAAAAGCTAAGGGTTAATTTAAGAGGGAAAAGGATCGGCTTGGGGGGGGGGGTTTGGTGTGTGGGTAAACGGTGTGAGGATCGGCCTTATAGGGATTGGAGAGAGGTTTTAGAATCGGCTTGGGAGAGAAGTTTTAGAATCGGCCTTATAGGGAGGATCGGCTTATCTAAGGGTGTGAGAGGATGAGCGATCGGTTTGTAGGAGAGGTCGAGTAGAAGAGAGAGAAAGCCGAAGAGGAGGGGGTGTGTAATCGGCCTGAAGAGAAGGTTCCGCTTCAGTAAGGATCGGTTTGAAGGGGAAGCCGAATGGGGTTCGGCTTGGAGAAAAAAACGTGAGAGAGAGACAGAGAAAGCCGATCAATAATGTAAGAGGGGAGAAGGAGCCGATTAGGATCGGTGTATAGAGAGGATAAGGGTTCGGCTTGGGGTTTGTGGGAATAGGCCGAAGAGGAGCCGATTGAGAGAGGGACCGAGAGTGAGGAGGCCGATTGAAAAGAGGTTTCGGCTTGCTTTCGGCTTAGGTAGGGATAGGGGGTAAGGGGGTCGGCTTGTGAGTGTATAGAGGGAAGGGGATTGGAAACCGTTTGGGGGGGTTCCGGTTTGAGAGTGTGTGTAATGTGTGTGAGAGGAAGCTGATTGAGGGGGAAAGATAAAGGGGGTGGAGTTCGGTGTGTGGTGTGTGAGTGAGATAGGTTCGGTTTGTGAAAAATGAGGTGTGTGGGTTTAGATTGGTGGTGTTATTCGGTGTGTAGGGGAAACCAAATAAGGGTGAAGGATAGGTCGAATGGGCGTGTGTGTGGGTGAGTTTGGCGTGAGGAAGCCAAGGGAGAAGGGGTGGCGTGAGAGGCCTGTTAGGATCAAGCGCTTACCCACTACACCAAAAGCAATTGCCTTGGTGAAGGCGCAACCTTATTTCCTTTATAGGGTAGCAGCCAGCCACGTTTCGATTTAGGAAGATGTTGGAACCGTGACCAACAATCCCCCCCCAGCATCTGTCGGTACTAATAAGAGCTTCGTTAGAAGTCAATGGCCGCGCAGCATGCCTTTCTCATAATTATGCACTCCTTGCATATTATGCACACCATGGGATTCGAACCCGTGACCTGCTCTGATACCAATTGTTAGGATCAAGCGCTTACCCACTACACCAAAAGCAATTGCCTTGGTGAAGGCGCAACCTTATTTCCTTTATAGCGTAGCAGCCAACACCACGTTTCGATTTATGAAGATGCTGGAACCGTGACCAACAAGGCCTATTAGAGAAGGAAGTCGAAGATGGTTTGGGGATCGGTTTGTCGAAAAGAGAGGATGAGACCGATCTAGGGTTAAAAAGGAGAGGGGGTCGGCCGAAGGGTGTGAAAGAGAGAGGGGTGGGTCGGTTTGTGTGAGTGTTCGGCCCAAAGGAAGAGCCCAAACTGGATGTTAACAAAAATATAAACATTACACAGTTTTATTTTATTTTCTTATTTATATACATATATTTTTTCTAAGCAATAAATAGAAATTCACACAGAGACTTTTTAGAGAAAAAAAATAGAAATTGATTTTTTTTTTTAAAACGAGAGTAAAACCCATCATTTAAAAAAAAACAATATTTTAGAAAAAGAAGATATACTCACACAGACAACAGACACAAGCTATTTTTACGCAAATGATACAACAACATTTTAGAGAAAACACCCAACCCAAATGAATTAGTGAAGACTCAAAAATTATTTGTCAATATTCAACATTCCCAACTCACTATTAAACCGAGATTCATCAAGAGGCTTGGTAAACAAGTCAGCAAGTTGATA